AATCAATCAATGAATCAATGAATCAGTCCATTCATCCATCCAATCAATCAATAAATCAATCAGTCAACCAATCAATCATTGAATGAATTAATCTTTTTTTCTTATTTTCTATTTTTCACAAAAAACAAAAACAAAAAAAAAATACAGGGGGGGTCCTTGCGACCCCCGCCATCCCCCCATGGAGTCACCCCCTCATCCAATTAATCAGTCAATCAATCAATCAGTCAACCGATCAATCAGTGAATCAATTAATCTGTTTTTCTCATTTTTTATTTTTCACAAAAAAAAAGAAAAGAAAAAAATACAAATACTGGGGGGATCCTTGTGACCCCGGCCACCCCCCCATGGAGCCAACCCCCCTCCCTGCAACCCCCCAGCGGCCATTGGCACCTTCGTAGCGGCCGTTTGGACGGATGCCCGTCTGGAGGTGCCTGTACGGAGATCCTCTTCACTGATCCGATTGGTGAACTGTCTCTACTCTGTGGTTGGTTTCTTTTGGTTTCATTTCTATATCAAACATGTCAAACCTATCTGACAATCTGTTTTGAAATCCTGTTTTTCATGTTGCACCTGTTTTTCTTCCTTGTCCGATGTTTCATGAATGTGATTTGGAATGTGTCCGCACAAGTTTTCCAGACACATTCCTTTTTTTTTTTTCTTTTTTTTTAAATTTGGACCGTTTCTCGATTTATGCGTGTCATCCTTGCGCAGGGGCCATGCTAATCTTCGCTGATAATGTCTCCAATGGGTCAAAGCCTTGTACATGGCGTAGAGTTCTCACCGGTTGTGTTCTCATCCATCTCAAGGTCTGATGATCAGTCATGAGGATGAAGAACCTTCCAAGGAGATAATGTCTCCAATGGGTCAAAGCCTTGTACACGGCGTAAAGTTCCTTCTCATAGGTGGACTTTGCCAACTTATGAGATGACATCTTCTTTGACATGTACTCGACCGGCCTCAACTTTGGCCCCTCCTGCTGCGCAAGCACGACACCAATACCATGTTGGCTGGCATCTGTGGTAACCACAAATGGCTTGTCAGTATCAGGAAGTTTCAAGACTTCGTAGTGCGTCAATGCATGCTTCACATGTCTGAAAGCAGCCTCGCACTTGTCTGTCCATTCCCATGGGGTGTCAAGGTGTGTTAGATCAATCAAAGGGGCGGCCACTATGCTATAGTTTTTTACGAAAGTCCTATAGTAGCCAGTCATCCCTAAGAATGATCTCATCTCAGTCACAAACTGAGGACGTGGCCAATCACGAATGCTGGCCACCTTCGCGTCATCGGGTTTCAACCCTTCCGCGAAAATCTCATGACCCAAGTACAAGACACGGGTGCGGCCAAACTCGCACTTCTCACCGTTGATCGTGAACTTGTGCTGACGCAGGAGACTAAGGACTTTTTGCAGGTGTGCAGCGTGCTCCTCAACAGTCTTACTAAAAATAAGTATGTCATCGAGGTACACGACGACAAACTTATCCAAGTAGTCATGGAATATCCGATTCATAGCGTGCTGAGAGATGTCAGGAGCATTGCACAGGCCAAACAACATCACCACAAACTCGTACAGACCATACCTGGTCTGAAAGGCGGTTTTGTGCTGATCCTCATGCCGGATTGCAATCTGATGGTACCTGGACTTCAGATCTATCTTACTGAAGTACCGACACCCTTGCACTCTATCTAGCAAATCATCAATGCGCGGTAGGGGCTCTCTGTTCTTGACAGTGATGGCATTGAGGCCCCTATAGTCAATGCACATCCTAAGTGTTCCCTCCTTCTTCTTAGGTACAAATAGTACTGGAGACCCGTAAGGGGAAACACTTGGCCGGATCCAACCCTTTTCTATGAGTTCCTTGAGTTGGCAGAAGTTCATCGAAATCGCCTAGAGACATTCTATAGATCCTACCTTTCGGGATGCTAGACCCAGGGATAATCTCTATAGCGTGGACGACCTCCCTATCAACAACCCCTGTCGGCTCTTCAAATAAATCAGGGTACTTGGCAACTACGCCCTCTATCTCCGGCGACATTTTCACCGGCTCGCCTGCAGCAAAGACATAAACTGGATGCATACCCTCCTCTAAATTTTGCTTATAATAATTATAGAACAAGGCCGCAAACATGCACCCGTAGGACTTGATCAGACTACTAGCCTTAAACTTATGTAATCCGGCGGTCCCTCCACCTCGCAAAGTGTGTTTGACCACCTTTTGGTCCCAGTCAAACTGGGACTGTGCTACGGAGAAATATTACATACCTAACAGGATGTTCATCGGGAGATCATCGCTCACTAGGAACGAAACATGATGTCTCAGTTCCCCTCCCGCGTACGGGAAACAACACTCAACATTTTGGAGGTAGTCATTGACTACCATGCGCTGTTTGTTGACACAGGTCGACTTCACAAGTCGACTCCATAGGTCGACTCAAGCGCTGCACTTGTCCCTGTAAGCGCAGTCTCTCAACGCACGTGCGACTAATAAAGTTCCTCGTCGAGCAAGTGTCGTAATAGGCCCCGGCCTTGCGGCCGCCAACAACTATCTCGCTGAAGAATATCTCACCCTTAGGGGCTTTGGCCAATGTCGTCCAAGAAGTTAATGGATCCAATCTAGACCACTCCTCCTCTAGCTCCTCTAAGGACTCAAACACATTCATCGAACAGAGGCTCGATGGGTCCGAATGTGTTTGCAGGACGACGCTGGAGTCAGTAGCTTGGGCCATTTCTCGAGGAGGTAAGGGTGTGTCCACCACCTCGACCCTAGCAGAAACAACTACTATTCCTACTGGCCCGACGTGTTTCTTGGAGCAGTGCCAGAAGTACTAGCTACATTGCTACCAACGGGAGTGGAGTATCCTACAACCTGCTCCATAGTAGGCGGGATCTTCTCGGTAACCTTCTTATTGCGGCACTTGAATTGGCTATCACGGCCATATTGGCCAAGACCCGCTTTCTCCCATGGAGGAGCATTGGGGTCCATTTGACTCCTGGACCGGGCGCCACCACGGGGTCTACCGGTCCCCTTTCCTTTCTGAGCTACGGCAACGACTACTCCACCGTCTGAAGCTTCAGCGCTGCCTACCTCTGAACCAGCTCCCAATAGGGGATCGTCATCTAACTCGATGGTTGAACCATCGTTGTCGACGAACATGATCCTATCCTTAGCCTTCCAGTTGGGAGGCAGTGTCTTTTTCCTTCCGTCCGTCGTGGGATTATATCCATGCCCTATCTTGGTTTCTAGATCTAGGGCCTTCTTGCTGAACGAGGGGAAGTTGTGCATATTGATGTTGGCCTCACCTGCCAATTGATTCCTGAGAGCTATTGGAAAGCACCTAAGGTAGGAGGTGAGTAAAACCTGGGGGTCATAGCGAACCCCAGGGACACAGATCAGACGCTCAAGAGCGTCAGTGGCATCCCTAACTGACTTAAATTTCCTCGTGTGTAGTGTCAGGATCGCATCAGTGGCCTCTTGAGCCTCCTGAGGATCGTGCCACCTGTCTTCCACCATCTTCACGAAGTCCTCCAATTTCAGGAGGGCTGCCCAAGCGTGGAAGTCATGACCGTATCCCTGCAGCTGCACTAAACCACTCAACCATCGCGCTGCACTACCCTCTAAGTAGGATGCAGCCACAAACACTTCCTCGTGCGGCAAGGTAAGTTTGCACTTGACATAGACCGGCACTGCCCTCAACCAAGTGTCAAGGTCCTCGCCCCTCTTATCCCCTGTGAAGGGTTTAGGAGTGGCGATGACCGTCTTTGGTACCCACTATGTTTGTCCCTGCACTTGTCCCACTCCAAGCTGTGGACCTTGGGGAGCAGGCTGCTGCACTACCGTCTGTTGGGGCTGAGTACCCTGCTGCTGCGCAGGCTGCGAGACGGCAGGTTGTGTTGTGACCGCAATCTGCGACGGAGTTTGGGTAAACACTATCTGAACAGGCATCTGTAAACTAGGGTCTGCTGATACATTTCCTGTAAGGCATTCCCAGGGAGACGATTGCTACTGTTGACGGGGCTACATATGGAGATACCCCTGTCACCGGTGGGGCAGAAAAAGGAGGATATGCCACGGGCCAGGCACCAGGCCCTGCTAACAACATAAGAGATCTTCGTTTTGCTCCACATCGCATTTATGCACGTGCTTATCCTTTTTTTTTTTTTTTTTTTTTTTCCTGGCCCGATTGGTTTACTTCTCTTCCCTTCCCTTCTTCCACTTGACATGTGCATTGTTGTGGTGGAAGTGGACCAAGTGGTTGCATGGTGGAAGAAAAAACTAACGGTCGGGCGGAAAGACTAAAGAAAGCAAAGAGAGGGTGGTGGAGGGAAAAAAGTCAGGTAGAACAAAAGCCGCGATGGACTCGATGCCATCAAGTCTGGATACCTGATTGGTTTACTTCTCTTATGTCCCCCTCCTCCCAGTCCCGCCC